TACCAGCGTGAGACTTGAGGTACATATAGAGTGAGTTTTCTTGAAACCCTAAACCGGACCAAATTCCAATATTGCCCTGGACATTGGAGACAGATGGGCAAAACTGGAATGTTACACCTGACCCCTAAACTCAATTATGGTACTACACTAGGTGTTGGATTGGGCTGTCTTTGATATGCCAATCAGTGAGATCCTTAGAGGGGGTCAAAACCTGGGTATGGGACAGTCTGAGAATTCACCTGAGTGGGTGATCATWGTGAYAGGATYGGCCCCTTTGTCGGACAAAGTGAATGATCGAGGAATGCACTCTCTCTAATGGAAACCTAAACTGCCAGCAGTTGATTTCAAAGTGTTGAGATTTGTTTTTCAAAATATATTTATATAGAGATATGCATATATATTATGGTTTTACAAAATGTTTGCAAAATGTTTTAATTCTCGGGATCCATGTGAGTAAAGAGTGCAATACTGTTCCTTGTAGCTGAGGAAGAGGTCCTCTCTTGCCGGGTAGTGTTTGATCATTATGGGCTGAGAGGTTAAGTGTAAGACCATTGAGAGTTATACCTGATGGGCCTTCACAAGATGGCTAGACCCAATGACCATTTAGTGTAAATGTTGGGCCCATTGAGAGCCCATACTAATGGACTCATGGGTTCACTATGTTCTGYAGCGAATTCAGCCAGATCTTGTAACAAAGGCTAGGCTGAACTCATGTGGCTGATGTGTAGATCAATGCTAGGGTCCCACGCCATACAAAGACATCCAAACTAACCAGCATTTAAAGGGTGAAGTGAGCCATGTGACTTAATGGGCCTAAGGCCCATTTCGAACTAGGCTTAAGTGATTTAATTAAATGGGCGAATTTAGGTTTATAATCTAATTAGGATTAGCAGTTGGGTAAGATAAGTCTTATACACTTGATAGTCCAGATCCAAATATTAGATTTGGATCAAGAAATTCATTCCTAATTGGATTAGGAAGCTGATCCAGGGAAGGTTATAAATAAGGGGGCGAATTCTATAAAAAGATTACCTATTTTTCTGCAATCTTTTTCTCCCTCTACTCTTGTTGCCCTGCCTAGTTCGATCTTTTTCTACAGAAAGATTTCCAAAGAGATCAAGAACTGTTCTTGATATTGTTTCTTGGTGGAGAAACAATTTGAAGTCGTGCTCACACAACCCTACACGATTCTTGCTGAAGAAGCACAAGTTCTTGCTAAAGAACCCTTCTTGATAATCCTGCCTCAACATTCATTGTGTCATCTTTAGTGGAGGCAGATTTGGTAACCTCTTTGGGCGTGAACACCTATGTTGGGAGTTACTGTAATTCCGTATTAGGTATATCCCTACTTGCTTCCTTTTGGTTTCAGATCTGGTCCGGTTTGTTTCAAGAACAAACCTTGAAAAATGCAATTTTTCTAAATTAGGGAATAGGATTCCCGGATGGGAGAAAGAAATTTTTGAAATTTCACTCAGCCACCCTGCRTGGTTCAGCCATCCATATGATGGATCTCCCATCCCTTCACATTTATATTTTTTAGAGGAAATATGTCCTTAATCTACTTCAGGAAATCGGGAAATTGGATTGTAAACCAACTGAAACTCCAATTGATCTCAATCATAAGTTGAGAGTTGATGATGGAGATGTCCTTCCTAACAAAGCTGTGTATCAAAGACTTGTCGGTCGCCTTCTCTACTTGTGTTTGACTAGACCAAATATATCATATGTTGTAAGTGCGTCCGGTCAATATATGCACAAGCCTAGATCATATCATATGCAAGTAGTGAATAGAATACTTGCCTATTTGAAGGGATGTTGTATTCTAATCATGGACATCTAAAAATAGAGGCTTATTCTGATGCTAATTGGGTAGGTTCTATTGATGATAGGCGGTTTGCTTCTAGCTATTGTACATTGGTGGGTGATAGTGTTATTTCTTAAAGAAGTAAGAAATAATTAGTCGTGGCTTGATCTAGTACAGAGCTATGAATCATGGAGTTTTCGAATTGTTATAGCTAAAGAACTTGTTGACAGAAATGGGAGTGTAGATTGATATTCCAATGATATTATACTGTGACAATTATGCTACCATAAACATAGCCCACAATCCTGTTCAACATGATCATACAAAGCATATAGAGGTCGATTGACATTTCGTTAGAGAAAGAGTTGCCAATAAAGAGATTTGTTTACCTTTTGTGAGGTTTGAAGATCAATTGGCTAATTTGAACAAGCTGAGCATGACAAATATCTAGTCTCAACTTGAGGGAGAGTGTTGAGATTGTAAAGGCATTCATGTCCTCTCATGTTTTTTTTTCTTGGCATTTGGGCGCCTATTTAAGGGCCCATTTGTAATTTTCTTCAATATGTTAAATAAAAGATTTCAGGGTGTGAACAGTAACATACCATTGACTCTTGACAAAAACAACTTTTATTTTTGAACACTTTAACTTATAGGCTAGAGGAACTCAGTCAAGAGCAAATCTAAACCTCTCCCCCTCTCTCTAAACCCCAATACATTCAGCTCTCTCTTTTTGTGCCCAAGATATATATATATATATATATATATATAGAGAGAGAGAGAGAGAGAGAGAGAGAGAGAGAGAGAGAGAGATTGATTGATAGATAGATATAGATATCCCATCTCCACCCCCACCCCCAATCTGAAAGCAACTTATCATATTCAGTCGGATCCATAAATAGATTACAGGTCGGGTCCATACCAACCTCCTCATCCACCACAAACCTCAATGATCTTTTCCTTTCGGGTTTTCATCACATAAGTCGGGTTGGTCATGTAGCAGGTCCAAAACAAGAATTCAAGGCATAAACTCAACATACATCAATAAAGGTAAACATTAAGGCTCAGTTTGGAAGGAGTACGAATACAAATATGTACATTGCAAATACATACAAAATAGTATAAAATACAAGATTTTGCACTCTACATATTTGTATTTGTACTCCTTCTAAACTGAGCCAAAGGACCTGGCATAATTTTTGGGGCTGTATAACTTAACCCTCTATTCTATTTTTGAGTCGGATTCCCCCTCCCCAAAATTTCACCCAATAATCAGTTAATTACATAATACACACCATTACCATTCTATTAAAGAAATGGATGGATTATGCCTAAGTGCCCTATAAGATATTTCTAAAATCCTAAAATGCCCTTGATTTTTAGGATGATGTTACCCTCTAGATTGTTTACATATTAGATTACAATGTAGTAGAATTGCTGAAACCTCCCCTTGAATTTTCTGACATAGATGAAGTAGACCCCTCTATTAGAATCTAACAAAAGGCACGAAAATGTCCAAAATACCCATACAATTACTATTGAGGCTGATTTCTACAAAAAAAAAATAGCAACAATAGAAAAAGAGAATTTAAAGTTGCAACTTAACCTTTGAGTGATTGATAAATTTGAAAATAAATCAATTTCAGAAAAGAGAGTGAAAGGGTTTGAGCTAGTGATTCATATGAAAAAAAATGAAAAAATTAACATTTTGAAAAGTAACTGTATAGGTATTTTGGACATTTTCATGCCCCTTATTAAAAGATTTTAACAAAAAGAGTCTACTTGCAGCTATAGCTCAGTTTGGAAGGAGTACAAATACATTCTACATATTTGTACTTGTACTCCTTCCAAACTGAGCCTGTCACAAAGTTTGCGGGAGGTAATTACAAGTACCAAACTTTAGGGAGGTTTCAGCAACGGTAAAAAAGTTCAGGGGAGGTTTCAGCGCTTCAGCAATTTACCCATTAAACTAATTCCAAGCTTTGCAGCACATTTTCTAGTGCATATAAATGCATATAAAATAATATGTACAGTATGGAAAATATGTACAGTATAAATGCCTATAAACTTATCTGATGTAGCCAAAGTGCTGCTTGGGATTTGTCTAAAACACGCCATCGCCAACAGCCCAATGCAACAGAGGGCTAAGCTGAAGATTCAGCTAAGCTGGTCCAGCTGCTTTGAAGCAATCCGGATAAGCTATTCAAAGACGCTGAAACAAGGCCCTTCAAATGACTGATTAACAACCAATTTGGGCTTTCTGGATTTTTCACTAAAATAGCTTATAAGCGTTTGAGTGGGGCCAACCTCAGAAAGCAAAAGCCATTGTGCTTAAGCCCTCCCAAACGGGTTAGGTTTTCAGGACTTTAGTTTGATTACAGTTGTCCAGCAAGGGGTTGAGCTACCCTTGGATAAGTTTCCTGGTCTGGGTGGCTATGCAAAGGAAACAAAACTTCTAGGAAATTTCTTCTGCAAACATTGATTACCTTATTGTCAAAGGGTTTTGCTAGAAAATTTTAGGATATATGAAGTAATGTTTAATAAGGCCAATAGACCACTAAGAGTGCAAAGTTTCTTGACTTGTAGGATGTAAAGAGACTGGGCCGAATGGGTCCTAGTATCTTATCTTGTAATATCTTTTCTTTTTCCTGTTAGCTAATGGGTCTCTCTTAATGGGCCTGTTATTTCTTTTTGTTTGATCTCTTTATGTTACTGCCTATCTGGCCGCCCACTTAAGGGCATACTTGTAATTACATTAACATTAATTCTTAATAAAAGGGATTAGAGAAGAAAGGGAAGAATAAATTGAACCTTTCTTCTACTTCCTCCTCTTTTCGCCATCCTCTTTTTTTGTACTGTTGCTCTTACTTTTCTTCCTTTTTCTCTCTAATTTTCAAATTTACACCTAATTTTTGAGGACTGATTTACATCTTAGGCGACAGGAGTCCAGGAGTCCTATACTTATTTTAATTGTGTAGGAGCAGTAGACAAGAAATTTTAGACATTAGGTGATGTTTATCGTCAACTGATGGCCCTGTAAACAAAACATGGTTATGAAATTCACCAAGTTAACAGGTAAGTTCTGTCCATCTGAATGTAGATGGCCCTGTAAACGGAACTGTGAAGCCAAGTTCTGTTTTGATGACTGAAATTTATGGGTAAATTCTAAACCAAGTTTTATAACCCAAAACAACAAGTATTAAAGCTATGGCGCTATATGAAGTACTCAGACTCCAATGAACAATGAAAAAATGACACATGAAAGAAACAGATTTCCAATTCCAATCCCTATTCCTGTGCTCTTTACAATATTTAACAATGTCATAGAACAGTGAGGGGATTAATAGCACATCTGATAATCATACTGTGATAAGAGAGAAGGCAAACTATTTTTCTGATGAATATGTCTCAAACAAATATGATAAGATTTTCTTGTAGTCACTCGCTTGAGTTCCAGTATTGGGATCAACAAGGTAAGGTACCTGCAAGAAGTAGTCAGCTCTGGATAAATGCTCCCAAGACCACGATGTTTGCGCATACAAGTGTCCAATTCAGTTTGTAAAATATAATTACAGAAATTACAAATATGCCATCTAGAAGCTAATGACTGATGGGTTCATCACATACATGTAGATAGGTCATTTCGTGCAATGGAATCTTTGCACTTGGGGCAGTACACGGTTAGTGAGGTGAAGAACATTTTATGAAATTGAATTAAAAACAATGAACATGCAGATACATCATTAGTCAGCAAATGATGCTGGTCAAGTGCATGCATGTGCACTAGGAGGCAGAACAAGGCTAAAGGATTGTATGAATTTCAAGGCTGAGAAGGCTGCCATCTAACAGAACCTAAGAGAAATTTTAATCGAATATGAAATGAATTAAAAAAATAGTTAAGATATTTTTCTTTTTTTTTTATCAGTAGATATTTTTCTTTTTTCTCTTTTGCTTTTTCAGATATATATGCAGAAATATCCTATTCATAAATTAATCACRATGCCCAAGACTAGAGCATAATTCATGTACCTGTAATACAATTACATGCATGTATGTGTTAATTGCAAAGACATTGAAACAATAGGAGTAATTTACGTGCGTGCTTGATCTGTACTTWTGGAATTCACCAATTACCTCTTTGGAACCAGATATCTCAAGAAGTAATTTGGACTTTGAGGATCCTTCTCCCACGTTTTGAAGGATGTAAGGAAGTTCCAACTCACAAAGTGCCTCACGCACAATCCGTGCATACTGAAAACAATAAAGAGATGTTGGCCACTTACACTTTTGTGGTATCTGGCAATAATGGTGAGATACTACCTTTTATAATGATGATGAGATACTACTTTTTTGCTAACACGACACAAGGCATAGAGTTAACCAAGATGCTGATTCGTTTTACTTCTCCCCTAATAGTAAGCTATTGTATAGTGTGTGCAGAAAAGTCATTTTAGCATCTTCAATCATAAGAAAAGTTTCATTGCCAAATATGGGGGGTCTTGACTAAATATGTGTGCATGCACTAGGGTTTTTTTTTTGTATTTGTTGTGTGTTGTTTTAGTGAATACACACACACACACAGAACCGTGTAATCACTAACATCATTCAAAGCCTCAGAAAAAGGGTTAGGATTGATTACATGGTTACGAGTGACTAATGAAGGCTTTCTATAGGTTCACTCATGACCTGGCAAAGGTTAGGGCACCATGCTGTGGTGCCTTAGATGGTGCAATGAACCTAGGAATTGCCTAAGAAGTGCTACAGGGAGAATCTTTTCATTCATTCTATGAAATGTTTGGTTGGTGCATTCTATTTTTCCTTTGATAGTTAAACTGAGATGGAATGTGCATGCATTGGGGAAAAAGGAGGGGGGAAGAAAAGGAAACACTCATCCAGTAGAAGAAACTACTATGCCAATGTAACTTGATTCACATGCTGTTTGACTTTCTCTTCTTTTCAGTACCTTCAACTTAAACAATATGACTCATCCATCTCACTGTCCTCGTCTCTCATATTCATATATGCTTAAATATAGATGTGCATTTTCTTAACAATTAGCAGAACATAACCCATTTTAATCACTAAGCTACATTGACCCACATCAATCAATCACATCAAGAACAGTAATTAATGACTAATCTATTGATTCTTTTAACAGTAAAATGCCAAAGTACATATTACAAAATGACAAATGAAAAGGCTAGAAATCAATAAAAACTTGCATGGAAACAGAAGCTATTGCACAGGATGGATAATGTTGATTACAATATCCTAATTCTATGAATGTCCCTTTGTTTTTTTGTTTTTGGACACAGAAAGGACAAAATACTAACTTCCTCATATATATATATATATATAACCAAGTAAAAAAACCCAAATCCCAAAAAGAAACCCAACCCAAAAATAGAAATCCTTGCAAACCAGCTAAACAAGAAAAAAACCAAACTGCTACACTAAGACAAAACCTAGACCCTACAATCCAATATAGACACCCACCGGAAACCTACGCCAACTACCCAAACCCACTAGGACTCCCACTCAAAAACTCTTCTTGTCAGATTTTTGAGAACAATCTTCTAGTCGCCTTCTTTCTGATCTTTTGTGTTTTTTGACGAACTTATCCGGGCAAAGACTTTTGAAACTGGAACTTGCTGCTGACTTTTTTCTATTCTTTTGAGCTCTGAATCTCCTAACTGTATTAAATGTTTTCACAGCTTTTTCCTGACTCCCCTATCTGAAACCACCATCCCTCAGATAAATCTTCCTGCTTCTTGAAAACATCCACGCCATCTCCAGCCACCCCTCCATCTCCATCTGCTTCTAGAAAACTTCCCCATATAATTAAAAGCATTTCTCCTTGTCYTAGGTTATTGAAATTATTTATTCTGTTGCACAATTGCAATGACAAAGATGCTAAACCTTTTCCTGTGATGAAAGATGCAGGAAAACTCTCTCTCCCTCTCTTTTTTTTTTTTTTTGCTTTTTCCGTCTCACAATGATGTGAAGATTTTTTCTTCACTTAATATAAGAAGGTTATTACAAATGTACATGACTACGTGGAAAGCAGGAACATTATCTTACTGGATTATTTTCAAATGAGAAAAGTTCCAACTTTTTAGGTGGTGGCTCCAATCTGGCTTTGTCCCAGAGCATCATCCCTCTACCAGCTCGGAGAATTGTGGGCATCCATCCAGTCAACAGTGTGCTATATATTACAAAAGAAACACTATTAGTATTCTGAACACCATATAGAAAAAAGCATTATGATTGAATAAATATTTCTCATGGAAACATGCAGCATTTTATAAAAATATAATAGAGTTACGAAAAGAATAATGAATTTCTAGTCTCGAAGAATCAAATCACATTTTTTTTCTGCTGTTCCATATTACATTAAAACACAGCTTGGCAGTGTGTAGGGGGCTATTTCTTGCTGCGATGGTAAAATTTCGGGCTGGCAAACATCAGGAAGGTGTATAATCCATAATACTGGAAGTTGGGTCTGTACCCAGTCCACCCATCTCAAGACCCTTGATAGCTCAGACCAGCATCGGTAATGGCCTTTTAATGAAAGGTCTGTCATCCAAAACCTTGTACATTCTCATTCAAAGCCATAGGAGTCAACAACATGAAGAACGGAACTATGTGCATGTGCAAATGCATATGTATCTCTTGTAATTTCAATGTCTTTGGTCAAGCCCTTATGTTATTACTTTAAAATAAAAAAGTAAACCTATACTTGATGCTGATCATGCTCATATCATTGTAACATTTTCCTTTGTTTGTYAACACTGAAAACCATTTTATCTCTTCTCTTTCATTTGCCAGTCAGGAACCAGTGAAAATTGATTTGATCTTAAAAGTAGAACCCAAGTAAGAACCACAAATTGCTTGCTCTTTTTATCTATGGATCCATTTGTCCTTGAATTGCACCAATACAATCCTTTCCCCATCTATATGCATGACTGTGCCGTTCTGATATTACATGTAATGCAAATGCTTTGTTAGCATTCAGAAGAAAAGGCACCAAATTAATTGGTTCATGGTTGCTTATTAAAGTGCATTTAAATATTTGATCAATAGCCTATGCATTCAGGAAAAAACCACTAAAAACAATTGATGTCACTATTGTTAAAGTGTATTTGATCAATAGCCCATTCTTTTTCTTTTCCTTTTTTTTTTTTTTGAGTGTGTGTTGAGGGGAGAGGGAAACAGATCAATGAATAATTAAAATTTATTAGGTTAGAAAAAAAATAAGGAAATTATAATAATCCTCTACAACCCAGGGAGGGGATAAGACCCAAAAGAACCTCAAAAGAGGCAAGCAAAAGTATAGAAGTGTTCTAATAATACAGATATAATCCTATCCTGGCCCACTGTAAATACAATGCGCTCCTCCTGAACCACACCCCCACCCCACCCCCGAAACCCAAGCAATACAAGCCACTAGGTTGACATATCTCAGGATCCACCTATACGCATGTTCATTCTGCAAGGCTCTAGCCTCTCTAGTATGATGCTGAAATGTTGTTTCTTCTCTTTTTTTATTCCTGTTTGTGTTTTTTTAAGCAGATCACTAGTTGGCCATTCAAGGTTTAAGACAAGTATATGATTGAGCTCTTGTGCAGTGTTGAAAACTCAGATGTAAAATGAACTGTAGAATGGATACACACACACTTTGGATTCATGTAGCTGGTCCCATATAGTCAGGATAAGGCTTAGATGATGATGATGACGATACAAACACACACACACTTAAAAACATAAATTTATGGGCTAGCAACACAATAATATTATGTCGATTGAAACATATTTAATTTAGTTTCAGTTACCGTTTTCCTTTTTGTCTATGA